CGTATTGGTAATAAGGTCTATTCAAGATGGTGGTCGTATTGGTAATAAGGTCTATTCAAGATGGCGGTCGTATTGGTAATAAGGTCTATTCAAGATGGCGACCGTACAGAATTAAAAGAAAATGGCGACACGTTTTTGATTTACATCACGCCAGAAAATTGCAACGCTATTACTACGTAATAACAATAACAACTCCAAATAGACAACTTGCTAGTCTCCTTCGCAGTCTACCCTTTTGTTGTCGAGCTTCCTGTCTGCTTGTCCACTTACTGGTGATGGGAATCCTGTGCTAAATCATTGCCGCCTCACGTCGCGTGCTGTGCTCTGGCAATTCTCAAATCWCGAGGTCAACATGTTTTGACATTTGCAGAAGAGCATTGCGTTTATCAAGATTTAGCGGTGATAACAGGCCGAGTATCACWAAAAAATACTCGTTTTATGAGGTCATATATACCGTTCACATTGTAACGATTGAGAAAACCAATGAGCAAGTGCTKATTTGATGGTGAAATATTGAATTAAATAAACTCGTAAACATGAAGAAAGATTATGATGGTGATTTAAGAATTATATTTTAAGATTCATGAACTGAAATTACAGCGAAATTATCAGTAACCGTAAAGGCCTGTTTACACTTTTTTGCAGCGATTCTCATCGCCTGAGTTTCGAACATGCTTGAAAATTGCCTGCAGCTTCGCGGCGATTTTCTATCGCCACAACAATCGCAGTACTGTCTACACGTACGATTTTAGTTGCGCGACTAGCAAAGTGGCGATTATCGCGCGACAAGAATCGCTCTGCAAAAATCRCAAGTGTAAAAAAAGATGATTATAATTTTAAATATCATCATAGTTTAATATAACTAATAAAAAATAATTAATTATTTCATCTTTGAATTTTTTAGAATGTCAGGTAAGTTCACTCTGACTTCTGCTTAACAAATATTCAATATGTTGCTTATATAGTATTCCAAGCAGTGGAACAAAATCCTGCTAACACTTGGTCTGCCTCCATGGTCTGCCTCCTTCTTCAGGGAACCTCTTACATGAGTACAAGCCTTCTCGCTTACTAAGATCTAATTCCTCACGTAAACTCAATACTGTCTGTTCCCTAAATAAACGCCTTTTACTATGGGTAAACGTTCTCTGTTGCTACACCTATTCTGTGGAACTGTGCCTTCCTGGTGATCTAAGAAAAGGATCACCAACCGATAATAAAAAGTAAAAAAAAAAATCATAAATATGTTTGTGGCCTGAATAAAAATATTTTCAAAGATTTTTTTAAGATTTTTTTTTTTTTACTTTTTATTATAGTGTAACTTTTACTTTAAAAAATCTTTAAAAACATTTTTATTCATGCCACAAACATATTTATGATTTTATGATAATGTAATTTTAACTTATTATTAGTTTTATATACGTAATCAGTTCCAAGACATCTGATGAGCTATATAAATACGTTCTTTATTATTAAAAAAAACTCGGTCTGTTATTTTATTAGAACAGTTATCACAATATTACTGTATGACAACTGTAATCGCTATAATCATAACTTCTAGAAGAATAATCACTCACCTAATATCAAAAGTYAAACAAGTCCCCGCTGTGCCCTATTACCGAACTTTTTCCCCACGGCAAATACCTTCATACTACCCCAAMTAGAAAATAAACTATCCAAATTAATCAGAAAAATTTTTGACAAGAGAGTCTTGACCGTGAGGTCAGAAAGCAACTCAAGAGAGCCTCCATATGGCTACGAGAAAATTTCTAAAAATACTTCCATATAGTTTCATTGTTAATGTCATATGTGACAGTTGAAAGAAGGGCTGTCGGTGGTCAATGCCTGTCTTTTCAATTCGGCATTTTCAAAGAGAAATCTTTTAGCCTCGAGCTTAAAGTACTAGCACGAAGACAASGGACTCAATGATATCRCTGATGAACTGCCTTGAGAAAACCCCAAGACCCGAMTCGATTTATTAAGCGATAACCAAAGCGCTGGCCTATCTTCGGTGGTGACAGTTAGCCGTATATTAATCTACCTCTAAACATTGTTATTCTTTGCTAAGTACGGCATTAGCAAGGTTAACAAGTTCGACCAGTGAATATAAACATTCTAGACGTGTATAATTCAATTAACTTGATATCCCTACACACGAGTACTGCGTTAGATGCGATCTTAATAGTCTCATTTAGATGCGGAGCGCGCGGTGTCTAAAAACCATGCAACGGTTACAAAGAGGGAATATTTGCAACACGGCTTCCCACAGTTTGATGGCCTGACCATGTGTACTGAACGGCGGTGGCTGCACCGGAAGGCGGGCTGCTTTGTACACAAGAGCCATCCATTCACACGGAGTGACTAGAGTCTYTGCTTCAAACCACTTAAGTAACTGGTCTCAAAACAACATCACCTGTACTGAATAGCGAGGGAAGACATATAATTCGTCAGTATAACTGTTAMGTTTCGGTATACTCTTACAAAGACAAAATCAATCAGAGATATATATGACATATGTTGAGATTACGTATAGCTATAGGCTATGGGCTGTTCGACGGTTCACTCTTATCTTTACATCATTCCAAACAGAGTATTTCAAACGAAACTATAGATGAGATATAACGAGGTTTTTGATTGGTCAACGTCTGTCCATGTGTCATTTATGTCCATCAACGCGTGCACCCATATGATCCACTCTTATGAGAGAGTGCTTTTGGGCTGTGCATACGCTCAGTGTAATATCTATTCCCAAAGTCTTCTTTATTCCTAGTTGGTGAAGATCAGCGTCGCCATGGAAAAGTTCCCTGATTGCATGGGGGTGATCGACCCCGTCAGAAAAATCTCCCGAAGTACATCACAGTGYGGTCCTGTWCTCCAGCGTTCAATGAGCTGCGGAGTGGGCCTACACCACGAGGGATCAGTCCCTCTACAACATATGCCTACAACACACTCCAGCGATCTCGGTAAATTCCCTTCACCACAAGGTCCATGAGTATATTTTGTTGAATTTGACTCCCACAGGGTGGCCTAAGCTGGGTACTAGTTAAATATCATTCAATGTTAGCTAAAACTTACTACATTTAACTTAATTATTGGCGCAATGTAGGCGGTTTGTAAAATTGGATCCAGATAATCTAGGCCATCACGCTGGTGTATTTTAGCGCGCTTTTGGAAAATGCCATTTTGTAAAGTATTGAAATGAACCTTTTGGTAACACTAGCCCCGGAAATGTCTTTAGTTTCAAGCCTACATTGTCTCCAGCCCCACAACTGATAAACAACATACTTTCTMCTTATACTTGCTGTTGTGTTTTCGTATTTTTCCAGAGGAAAAATACAACCGAACAGTTTCCCCAACGCCTCAGCTATCTCAAGGATCGTCCTCGTGTACCGAGATGGAATCTTCGTCTTCAGAATCGACACAGAAAAGAAAGAAAAGGCGAAACAGAACGACCTTCACGGCWTATCAGCTTGAAGAAATGGAACGAGTCTTYCAAAAAACGCATTATCCCGATGTGTACACCAGGGAGCAGTTGGCTTTACGWTGTGATTTGACCGAAGCTCGTGTCCAGGTTTGTTTATGAGATCCTGCTAAGATGAAATGAGGTTTATCGCGCTAGCACTTAAAACTGTCCAATCAAATTATCAACTGTAATGTTATTATAACGTTCAAATACTTGTGACGGTCGATGCCTCTAATTTAATTATGGTGAACGTATAATGTTAGCGAAGGATTGCTTGGTAAATACGAGTTGATTCACTATCAAGTTAAACAGTTTTAGAAAGAACGTTGAGCGTCAYAAACGACATAACCAACCACACTTGACCGCGATGTATATAAACATGTTATTGATCAAAACGCAAACAAACCCTGTTTACTTAAGATTAAATTTAAGTAATTACAACGATAGTCTAATGGAATCTTCTCTTGATATAATAGGTGCTATAACTTCTAAAGTACATCCTTTCTTTGGCGATAATTAGTTATTTTATACATGAACTTCCCGAAGGCATCGCGATAGATTCGTCATCAACCGTTACGATGATCTGCCATGGTTCGTATAACATAAGACGCTTCATCTGCCAGTTTCTGGAGCAAATTTTATAGCAAATTAAATGATTTTAAACTGCGAAAGTAATCCTTATTTGCTCGTTTTGTTTTTGTTTATTTAGCGAGGCTTTAAGCGATTTTAAAAGTGGAATAGTTCGCGAAATTTCAAAGGTTGTTTTAGTGCGGTTAGTAACCTTGTCGGCAACTCTTGTCCACGAGTCCGCTTGCATCATTATCAACGCTTTCTGACATTGAGAAAATTATGTGACACTCTTTGGTGGCGGTTATTCCTTTAGAAAAGATTAACGATGAAATTTTGTGGTTTTGTAAGATGTTTGTACTGTTTTTAAAAGAAATGCTTTCTCAATAACTMGAGATACAGTGGTCAACTTCTAGTCGAAACTAACGTTGACTTTTAGACTCTAGGTTAGAGTACGATGAGATTCTAATTATCAACATGAGCAAACAAGTAAAAAAAAAAAAACTTTAGTAGAATGGGTCTTAATCTTTGGTAGTCGCTAGTTCCACTCTTTTCTTTTGAGTTTATTTAGACTGAAATTTGYGCTTTATTKAMTCGAGCKCAAGCGACATACAACATTTCCGTCCAAATGTTTCTGTGTCATGTTTAACTGTGTTTTGAAATGCTCACGTTTCTTTTCGTTGTAGTTTTTTGCTATCAAAGTTAGGATTCCTGCCACATTTCAATTGGCAGATTATACTTTTCTTTATATTAAGAAAAGCATTTAAAAAATTCTCTCTGAATTTTCTGTTTTCTTTGCTCAATAGATATGTCCACAACAAGTAAATATAATTTAGTAAAGACAATGATATTTTTTTTAGCCTTCACTATAGAACAGCCTGGTTCTTTTATGCAGAAGACGTCTCAACAAAAGCTGTATTTATTATGCATCAATATTTGAAAAGAAAAAACTTCTAAGTTGAATATTACATATTACATGTGTTTAAGAAGTGTTTTCAAATGAACAGATCTCAGTGTAGTGACTTTAGTTTTAAGCTTAAGCATAACCACAGTTTTTTAGATGTATTCAAACTTTTTAAATCACGTATGAAAATTAAATCTATGTGTTATAAAAGCTGATTTTCATATTTATGTAGTAATGTAGGTTTGTTGTCTAGACCGAATTAGATGTCACAACTTTTGCCTACATTCTACAACCATCGCACGCAACCTGCGTTAAGTCATCATTGCAAATACATGTCTGCAACATTTGTAGGGATTTAAAACACTTTCCAAAATCGACAGCCCTACGACCGTGTTGTAGCCATGTTATAAGCATGACTTGATCAGGTTGTATGCGATGGTTTTGAACAAAAGTTCTCCTCTTGCTTAGTCAGTTAGTATACGTTGAGAATAGTAACTGTCTCTGACTTGTTTCATTTTCCTTTGAATCTATCTATTAATTGTTTTAACAGTTAGAAGTTGTTTCATGTTTTTTTGTGGAATGGAAACATCACACCCATGAACAAAATTTGATAGTCAAGGTGTAACAGTCAAATAGACACAAAAGAAAACAATGGAATTAGAAACTACTAAGGAAAGTCTAATAGATTGAAGACATTAAACCTGTGAAACAAAATCTAATAGTCACGGTGTAATAGTCAAATAGACACAAAAGAAAACAATGGAATTAGAGACTACTAAGGTGTATTAGTCTAATAGAGTGAAGACATTAAACCTGTGAAACAAAATCTAATAGTCAAGGCGTAATAGTCAAATAGACACAAAAGAAAACAATGGAATTAGAAACTACTAAGTTGTATAAGTCTTGTGTAGTGTGAAGACTTCGAATTAACCCGTGAAACAAAATCTAATACTCAAGGTGTAATAGTCAAATAGACACGAAAGAAAACTGTGGAATTAGAGACTACTAAGGTGTATTAGTCTAATAGAGTAAAGACATTAAACCTGTGAAACAAAATCTAATAGTCAAGGCGTAATACTCAAATAGACACAGAACAGAAAAGAAAAAGGCAGTTAGCCACTACTATAAGGTGTGCTAAGCTWGTATCTATTTCACGGTTTGTAATGAGAACACTCCAAAGCCGTGAAATAGACTTTTTGTTTGTTTATTTAGCATTTTTGCAGTTATAGTCTATATATGACTACGATTTGTTCCATGATGAGTACATTTTTTCACGGTTTATGAAAACAGCCCTAAAGTCCTCCCGTCCATACTTCAGCAAACTGCAAATTCCCCATCAGGCTTAAAGTAAAAATATTTTTATTATAATTCGATTCACTCACCGTTACTTAGTAAGTAAAGCGAGAAAAACTAATGCAAGTATCCATAACATTATTACAAATTGATAATACTTGAGAATATTAATGATGATAGATACGTTACAGTGCAGACATTGTTGATGAACATTCCTGCTGCTTAAAAAGCTTGGGCTCCAGGCTGGAAGTTGCTATGTGGCTTCACTCCTGTTTGATTGTGTAGTTTGGTCTTGAGTCCTTAGAATAGGTTTTTCGGTCTTCCAGTGTGAGGGAATCATAGCCAAATTGGTTCAGTAATGTGCATCAACAAATAGTCAAAAATAGACTATTTAAGTTTAGATAGTCAAATAATGACTTCACTCTATTACACCTTGACTATTAGATTTTGTTTCACAGGTTTAATATCGTCACACTTTTAGACTAACCATAGTTAATATAGGAATGCTTTGGAAACTTTTTGTTGTACTTCTTTGTACATCTTT